AGGCAACAACCGATGGTTACCAGAGTACCAGCATTTTCTTGGACTAGAAAGCCAGCTTTGCGTTAAACTAGAGGTGGGTATTGCTTGGCCTGCTGCCGAACCCTTTTCTTGTACTCAGTGGCATCCTGCCCAAAGTCGAATTGCAGAGTGTAAGAACAAAAACTCAAGCAAAGCAAGGGTAAATTAATTCTTGTTTAACTCATAAGTGGTGGTCACTTCTCCACACTCAATCCTATTCTCATATGTATAGCCACCAACAGATAGCACAGCAATGGCACCCTAAAGTTGCAGTCACTCAGGGTGAGTTCTGATGCTAATTGCCACTGCCAGGATTAATGACGCTAGATGTGACTTTACTGGACGTCCCAATAATATGCCATCACCTCAGAAAATGTGGGAATGCAACCTTCAGAGTTTGCAAGATGTATACTGCATTATACTAGCTTTACATTCATTAAAGAAACAACAGAGCCTTCCCTCCAAATTTGCAGAGCAATGGGGAAACAAAAAGTTGCTAAGGAGCAACATACCTGAATGAAGAGGTGATACCCTTCTGTCTGTGCAGGATCAGCAGGATTTGGCTGATCCAGTAAATCCTGAATGCCCACAAGAATTTGCTTCACGGTTATTGCTGGTCTCCAACCCTACATATAAAACAAAGAATGCTAAGTATCATGGGATAAAAAGCTCACTAATTCTCCATGCCAAAGAAGTTGCTATATGTAGAAAACTTAAAAAAACAGAAGGTACTCACACTGTCCTCATTAAGAATTGATAGACAAACAGTTCCAGATGGGTATACATTTGGGTGGAAGAAACCTGGTGGGAATTTACACTTTGGAGGCTTGCTAGGGTAGTCTTCACTGAAGTGAAGGGTAAGTGGGAAAAAACCCCCCTCCCAGTCAGTCTGCAACATAATATTAGTAAGAAATGTTAATGCCAATAGAAAACATTACATTTTATGAAAGCCTCTTTATTTCTTCTAATTTATCCACTCTAAATATAGTAAAGGCATGCTGCTGTTGATAAATAACCATATAATGCTCACATTGCCTGATATAAAAATCTTTTTTTTTTGGGTAAAT